CCTCCGTGAAACTCGCCTCCTCATGAAAGCTCCTTTGCAAGATCAGAAAGGACCCCCTATTAAGTTCATCCATCACTTCAGTAAACACGTTCCTACCACTAATGCCACATATTCAGCTGTTAGCCTGCAGCAGGAGAAGAAAGGCTTTGCAATCCAGGTAGGTGGAGGCTGAGGGACAGCCGGGTCAGATACACAGAGCAAGGCACAAGATTATTACTCCAGCTAATATACCGACACCTATTAATTTCAACATCTTGTAAATTCAGAATTAGCAGAATTGCCACTGATATTGCCCTCCACTACTCCTACTGCGATAACAGGGGTTCGGGTGAGGATACCCTTCTATTACTGTCAGCTTTTCAAGTTTACAATGATTTTTGAAGTAGTTAATTTTATTTTTCCAGACCATTTTCATTCCTGGGAACAAAGTGGTCTTTACTGCCTAGAGCTCAGGTAGATTGGTGCAGGGCAATGAAATCTTTCACACTCTTGCAAATAAAGCTGCTTCCAAATGAGTGCACAGCTGCCAGTGTGTGCTTGATGTATTTGCTTTGAAATTATTTAGCTATTACTATCGATTCCTCACACAGGTTGTTTTCTGTATGCCAGTGAGATCTCCAGAATCCTATGCATTCTGTCAGAATTTATTAGAGCTACTATGAAATTTGTAGTGTTGGCATAAAGAGTCTTTATTAACACTGGAACTTAGCCTACAGTAGCTATGTCTAAAAGTGCTGGAATGAAAAATCCTAAAAGATTTTCAAGATGACAGTTGAAAATGTCATGTGAATCTTTTGTTGCCTAAAAGTGACTCTATTTATTACAAATATAATCTCCAAAATCAGTATTTGAGCACAATAAAACACCTGTTTGCCACTCTCCTTCAGTCACACAGTGCAGTCACTACCAGTGTTCTTGTCCTTGTCCAAATGCTGTCAGGAACATTTTGAAGTCACTGAAAAAATTACCTAAGGAACATAAATGTTTGACATTACAAAGTATAACCTACAGGGTCAATCTCATGGCCTCTTGCCATTCATATGTTTTCTGTTTATGAATGTATCATCGTCAAATTGCACAATAATCACCTTAAATGTACAAGTAAAATTCCCATATTTTGCTTTTTGTTCTCTTTCTTCCAAAAGAGTATTTTTCTTAGACCCCTTTTTGCAAAGCAAAGGTACCCAGTCTACTGTTTTATTGCCTTGAAGATAAAGTTTTTACCTTCCTTTACAATTCTGAGTAATATTTTCTGGTCTTTTATCTTTAAATACTTTGCATGAAGGAATTAAAGGACTTACCATTTCCAGTAATTAATAAACAAAACCTTTTCTATGTATCTACAAGGGTATTTGCTTCACTGGGGAAAAGGAGGAGAGAAAAACCTTTTCCAGGAATTTTTGGAATACATTTATGTGAAGTTGGTTTCTGCTTTGCTTCTAGTCTTTTAGGTAAATTTTAACCTATGAGAAAACAACTGTTACAAACATCCTATGAGATGTTTGGACTCTTATCTCATCGTGTACCTTTTCCATGATTTAGGCCTATGCAGTTCATCAAAAAATGACTCAATATGCTGTTTAATCGGCAATTATTTTTGGCTATCAGTCTTGCATAATGCCATCCTTCCCCTTATATCTCCCAAAATACATACCGTTCTGACCAGTAAATGATCAGCCTTTACTGACTCACTTCAGTGTTTAAATAAAACTTATCAGCACATTCTCCAAGTGACTAGGGAAGTCACTTGTGATTCAGCAAATCCATTCAAAGTATTCTTTGGCTATTTCATAAAAACCCTCAGATATTCAGATTCCCTTACCATAGAGGCCTATAGGAAAAGTCTGGTCAGCTTTTGATTCAAGATCTCAACATCCATCAAAACAGAGTGAGAACTTGAAACAGATTCTGCAAAGGCCACGACAAAAAAAATATCGGTTTGTTCTTTATATTAGGTAGATATTTGATGATCTTGACAAAGGGACTTGTATAACTAATTTGGCTGAAAAAAAGAGAGAAATCTGATACAATCTTATTCCTTTTATCTGCAGGGGCACTGTTAAAATGGTGATTTTGAATTCTGCATTTACTGATACCACTCCTTCGTAATTCTTTTCACAAAATAAAGTTTTAGCGTTTTAAGATGAATACCAGACTAACAGCTTCCTCACACACATATTCTCAGACGTGCATGCACAAATACACAGGCTCTCCTAGTAACTTACCATTTAGCTCATTTAACTCATTCCCCTTCCTCTTAGCGCCTATCAAGTGCTGTCTCACCTTCACGCTTTTAAGATTCTTGTAATGTATTTTGCATTATTTTCATGAGATATCTCCCCCATTCTTGTGTCACTCACTCCTTATGACTTCAGCCACTTCCACACATTCTCACCAATGCCGTTGTTTTCACTTAAATGCAAATTCAGTATGAGTTAAAATTGTGAGTCTTCAATGTACCTATAGATCCGACTGTGTGAAAATAGATTAGCCTAGTGAGGGACTTTTCATACTGAGAATTCATATAACTTTCTGGTTTTAGTGATTTCAACAAAATACATTATTTTATGATAATGCATCTGTGGTTGTAGGAAGTACTATGACACCCATCTCTTTCTTTAAAAGTAACAATCTTCCCTCCTTGGGTCTAGGTAATTGGGAAGAATAAATTTTGTCTAATTCTCTCCAGCATAGAAAGCAAAACACCTTGCAAAACAATTTCTTGCAAATAGATTAAAAGAAACTCTGTAATCTGATAGCAAAGCAAAACCATGTTAATAATTTCTGAAGTACTCCATATGTTTCTATTTAATACCTCTTAGTATGGATCACTAACTGGTTATAGAAAGGACTCTCTAAGCATGGTGATATGAATTCCAGGTAAAAGGCAACTCTCCAGCAGAAGCCGTTAGCGGGCAGAAAGGTGAGGCTGACTTTGTTATTGCTGACTAAAAGAAAAATTACAACAGACACCTGCTTCACAAGATTTGGACTAAAATAAAGTTACTATATTGCATGGTAGAGCATGGAGGAGACCCCACTGTTTTCAGAACGCTACAGCAAGGACCGTGACTCCACATCACTTGAATTTTACTTTTTAAACTATGTGTTAAAAATAGATGAAAAAAACCCACAAGTCTGACTGCAATGAGGTCTGCAAACCACAAAATTATCTGCAAAGTGACTGCTTGTTAAGTACTGTTTCTTCAGTATCTCAGATTAGTTCAGACACAGCATAAAAAAGCATCCACAGAGAAATGCCAAGCCTTTTTGCATTGAGATCCCCCACTCTCTAGAGGCGTGGTTTTATGTAATTGTTCATAGACATGTGGCATACCACAGAAAAAAGAAGAAAATGGAATAAAACGTCTGCAGTGGCTTGATACCATCAGGCTGGAGAGTAGGAGGACATGGGGATATACTAGAGAATATACTGACAAACTTCTCACTGCATGGTTGGGAAAACTGATCAATTCAGTCAAATCATCAGCTCAGTTATTATAAAAGACAAATATCCTTCCATTGTGGGGGCAGAGGCAGCAGGAAGAAGAAAATGGGAAAAAGCAAGCAAATGAAATCTCATATTGAAACCTTGGTAAAGTAATTGTCTCTTTATCTATGTATACTGAAGAACACAGCTCCACCTGGAGACCAGCCATCTCAGAGAATTAAATCAACCTGGTCAATAAAGCGTAAAGTGGACACGAACAACGTCTTAAAAGCCATTTCCATGATCAGAGCCACTGTTAAATACTCACACAAGAGCATTCTAGATCAGGCAAAGCCACACAGTTTTCAAGACAAGCTAAACAAAAAAAGTCATTGAGGGCAAGTCATTAAAGGATATTTAATGTACACAATATATTTTTTAAATTTGCAGTTTCTCTTCCTACCAAATGTCTGATTATTTTTCCTTGGTTACATGGATATTCTTCAGGACAAAGATGTCCTCTAGGATTGCAAATGGCTTAGTATATAGCAAACGCTGCCCCAGATGTACTTCCCAAGGTTTTTGGGTTTTTCTGCCCAGATGCCAAATTGCTCAGTCAAGTAACAATTTCTTATGAAACTTATCAATTATAGAATTCATTCTTTTACTTTCATGTAAGCACAAACAACAACAGCACTATTGTGCACATCATTACAATTCATCTTCATCATGCAAAATCCACAGCCTTTTCTAGTTTGTAACTTTTTTTCCCAGATACTTATGTCCAGCAGTCAAAAACATTTAAACAAACTGTAAAGTCTTTAAACAAGAGCAGGAAATTAAGTGCACCTAAACTATAATCCATTCTTTGTAACATGGTGCACAGCTCTTCTAAAAGAAAACCAACTGTTTACTCACCATCTTACTGTATAGTTTTTGGAAATGTAGTTTAAGTCCTGGCACTGGTTTTTCATTTCTAATCTTGAATCATTTCAAGTAATTTTAAAGAAAAGAACACAGATCTAAAATTATTTAATTTAATTTCTGTTTTATAATATTTTTCTGCTTTACCATAGTGTTAAGGGTGGCTACATTTTAAATAAGTATTTAGTTCATTAAGCTAATTTAGGCACATTATCTCCATCTAACCCGAAAAATCTGATTCACAATTCCTACAAGAAAGATAACTCACACACCCAACAGAGATGTTCAAAGCTGCTGCTTTCTTGAGTCTTCCAGTTTATTCTCTAGGCTTTTATGCTGTTACAGGGATCAGTTTACAATTTATGTAGATCTGTGAGCAGATTCAAATTAAAATCAATTGTATAAACTTGTAAACTCAAGAAAACACGTCTGCTGTTCTTCACTTAACGTTATCAAGGTAAGGCTCAAAAGCACAAGAGGAAGGGAGATGTAGGACTTTCTGAAGTCTATGTAATGTTTCACCGTCAAACTAGCATTGTTTTAGGAAGGACACCGTCAAAGGCTCAAATAGGGATTTTAGGGCAACTGAATGATGTCTGTTTTAAAAACTGGATCCCTGCTTATAGGAGAAAAATATTGCTTTTACCTTACTGATAAGTGTGACGACATCACCTTCTCGGATTGTGAGTTCATCATCATTCTGTGCTTCATATGGAAATATCACTTTGCAGTACTCCTTGGCTGAAAGGAAGAACATTCAACGTGATACATTATCACTTTATAACAACTGCTTATCCAAGGGTGAAAATCTTCCTAAAATGTTCCACAAGTGTCTCTCTCATTTTCTTGCCATCTTTCTCTCTGTATTTTAGACCTTCATAAACAGTAGGAAATATGTAAAAAACTGCACACTGATGAGCATTCCCACACATGTCATCCAGGGAGTCAGCTCTGTAGCCCCCAGAACCATTATCTCAAATGAAATTACTCCAGACGGCAAGCTGCCACAAACCATGTCCCTTAGAGTAAGCCTGCGTCTAACACTTGCTTCCATAGTTCCACTGGTATGGCCTTCCACCAGACCACATAAATTGGAAGCATAAAGGACCCAGTATGTTGACATAGCTCATCTATCCCCTAGTGTGCAAGAAAGCAGATATTTCTGCATCTATAAAGATTATAAAATAATAAATAATACATTAATAAATGTAAAGGTTTACGGTTGGACTCGATGATCTTAAAGGACTTTTCCAACCTAAATGATTCTATGATTCTATAAATAAACCTTCTGTACACTCAGCATAAAATAAGAGTTTTGAATATTAGTCTGAAGTTTTCTCTTCCCTTTTCCCTCTACTGTCTAAAAATAAGGACGTCATCTCGGCTTTCATCTGGAAAATACAAGAGCCAGCACTCCTACTCAGAAATCATAAAAAGCAGTTGTCATGAAAAGAAGTTACTTACAACATGTTGCTGTGCAACAGACAAGTATGTCAATGTGCTTTACAAATAAAAAGGGAATATGTATTCCAGCTGTTAAATAATGTATGTGATACTCTAAGACAGCAGGTTTAAAAAGACCAAAGAAACATGCACAGAAATTACTGGACCCTTTGTAGAAGGGCATGTGACTTTGTAGAAGTGTTCACCTCATTTAAATGTCTCAGTTTTGATAACCTCTATCTCTAGTCAACTGTCATATTCGATGCAGAGAAACAGGTACTTGCAGGCCACAGAAATCTAAATTAATTTGGAACAACAGGACCTATTTCTTTATACTTACTATAAAGAGAACCTGCATTATCACACTTGTGGGTATTTGAGGCTCCACCGGGGGGTCAGTTCAGCTGCCCAGACACTAAGTGCCATTTCAGACACTCGTGGGTATATGACACCCACGTGGTTGGGAGATACGATGCACAACCTATGGAAGAGCCAGGTCCCTCTGGCCTGGCAGCTGGAGGCAAGCCAAAATACCCTGGGCTATCTTAAACAGCTCCAGACGCAGGCAACTGATTTCAGCCCCCAGGGTTGGGCCTGGTGTCTGGATTTAGATTCGGGCACCTGATGTTAGAAACCGACGATGTCAGTGCCTACACTTGCGCTACAGTCGATGGAGATCAAGTCACTAAAGTGAGCAAAGCCTTGAGAGCCGGTCTTCACCCCAAGAGCAGACATCTACATTTGATTAGCTGAATCACACTCTGAACTCCCTGGACAGCACTGACAGATCTCTACCGGGACCCACTGGAGCCCAGAGACGAAACTCACATGGCTATACAGAAACTTAGGGCTCTGACTCAGAAGCTGCATGGCAACTGCTAAAGTTTAGTGACAGGAACATCAACCTTAAATAAACAGCCAACACACATGCATGTGAAGGGTTGCTGGCTGTAAGCACAATCAGCCTGAGAAATGAAACAGTACTAATGGGGAAGAGGAAAGCTCTTCTCCAGTTCACACACTGCCACTCAGAAACACCATGAATTTTATGCAGCGCTGGTTCAAGTTGACAAGAATTTCTTAGGCCTCACAGATTTATTTTCCTGAACCAAAAATTTAAATTTATCCACAATCATTAGCAGTTGGTTTTCTGGCCCTGCCCTGTACTGGTCTGGCTGGGATGGAGTTAACTTTCTTCACAGCAGTCCGCATGGTGCTATAGTTTGGATTTGTGACTAAAACAGCACTGGTAACACACCAGTGGTTTTTTTGCTATTGCTGAGCAGCACCTGCACAGCGCCAAGGCTTTCTCTTTTCTCTTTGTCCCCACTCTGCCCCCCAGTAAGTAGGCCAGGGGTGGGCAAGAAGCTGGGAGGGGACACAGCCGGGACAGCTGACCCAAGCTGAGCAAAGGGATATTCCGTGCCATATAACCTCCTGCTCAGCAATAAAAAAGGGTGAGCTTGGGGGGTGTTGGTCTGGGAAGTAGCCATTGCTTGGAGACTGGCTGAGCATTGGTCTACTTGTGGTAGGTGGTGAATGATTGCCTTTGCGTCGCCTTTTTTTTTCCTCTTTCATTCACTTATTAAACTGTCTTTATCCATGAGTTTCCTTGCTTTTGCTCCCCCTAGTCTCTCCGCTATGGGGGAGCAAGTGGGTGGGTGGAGCTTAGCTGCTGGCTGGGGTCAACCCACCATACCCCCTCTGATGACTCTGAAGAAACAAGAGTCAGATGAAGACAATGAACGTGATCTTTGAAAACAATATGAGCAAGGGAAAAATAAGCCTCTTTTGCTGTTTCTGAGAGCAGGGAACACTGTCAAATAAACATTTGGTAACATTGCCAAATGACTGGGCATGTGAGAACTACCACGTCACAACTCAGATTTCAGGCGATGAAAGGGGTGTCTAACTGCTAGGTTACTGCATTCTGGACAAAGGGTTTGGATTTCTCTTCATGGACCCAGCTAGGATGTTTCACCTGCTCACTATCTTGTCTTCAGGACAGCATAATAACATTTTATGTAAAAGCTGGTGGAAAGTTGACACGTACTGACTTAGGTCAGGTAGATGCAGAGCAGCATGTAAGAGAAACATAAGATTCAGCACATTTTCACACTTCAGTGTGTACGCTCCTGTCGCCGTTTAACCTCAGTCAGTCGGCAACTGAGCACCACATAGCCGCTTGCTCACTCCCCCCCAACCCCCAGCGGGATGGGGGAGAGAATCAGAAGAGTAAAAGTCAGAAAAACTCGTGGGTTGACATAAAAACAGTTTAATAATTGAAATAAAATAATAATAACAGTAATAAAAATGTAATAATAATAATCATCATCATCATCATCATCATTAAAGCAAGTGATGCACAATGCAATTGCTCACCACCCGCTGACCAATGCCCAGCCAGTCCCTGAGCAGCGGCCCCCCCGGCCAGCTTTCCCACCGTTTATGTACTGAGCATGACGTCACATGGTATGGAATGTCCCTTGGGCCAGTTGGGGTCAGCTGTCCTGGCTGTGCCCCCTCCCAGCTTCTTGTGCCCCTCCAGCCTTCCCAGTCGGTAGAGCATGGGAAGCTGAAAAGTCCTTGACTAGTGTAAGCACTGCTCAGCAACAACTAAAACATCGCTGTGTTATCAACATTGTTCTCATCCTAAACCCAAAACCCAGCACTGTACCAGCTACTAGGAAGGAAATGAACTCTATCCCTGCCGAAACCAGGACAGGTCCCTTAAGTAATCATGTTTTTTTCTTTTCCCTATTCTGAGAGTATCCGCATCCTGAAAAACAGCTTTGCTAGATAAAAAATTCAGAGAATTAGTACAGAAATGATGTAGATGGAATACTGTACTAAAGAAGCTGAGTGCTGCGTACTCAGGGAAGTCTCTGGTTACTGGAAACAGGCTTAGCACCTCTTTTTTGGGACACAGAACAGAAGCCAGGCTGGGTTCCCAGAGGCAAACACCACTTGGGCCCAAGGAAGATCATTCCTGAGAATCCGTTCTCAAGTACATAAGTTGCTCCTCCATTTACTATATAATCTATACACTGTATAATCTCAAGATTAGATGGGAAGCCAAGCACAACACACAGCTAATCAACAGAGAAGAATAGCCACTATACCACAGTACCGGTACTATTCTGAAAGGATGCCAGCGGTGCAGCTCTCGCCCAAGGCATGGATGAATCTCATGTGTTTCAAGTTAAAGAATGCTTTGAACAGCAAGTGTCTCTAGGGGACTCGTGTCTCCTGAGTCCTATAACAGGCAATCCTCCCTCAGCTCCCCCTTGCTATTTGAAGACTATAAATTTGAATCATCCTTCAAGATGAAGACCCCAACAGACAAGAGTGAAGAGAAGGTTGTGGTTTCAGGATCTGAAAAAGTCAGTTGATAATCAGGAAAGTAAGTGCTCTCTTTCTTCTTTTTTCTTAAGCTTTTCCACTAAAAGTATGTGTCAATGTGGATCTCACAGTAAGTGGCTGTCCAAAGCAGCAAGACTTTAACCAAAGAACTCATAGTCTTTCACACATAGCAAATGGCTATGCATCTTCGCCTTCTAGTTTTGATTTTAAGAACTCTGTTCTCCCATGACCTCTCCACCTTCCCCACCAAGGTGGGGGGAATTTTTTTTTTTTTTTAATATCCAGATAGCAGAGAAACAAGGAATTAAACTAGAGAAAATTGTCAAAAAACAGATCTTAAGCTCAGCCAAATGCTGATGCAGTTGATGAAGAGCCAAGAGGCAATCTTGTGAGAGGCACAAGAGGGAGCTGGGGGAAGCTCACAGCCTCCCTGTGCTCTGAAGGCTGGCACAAGAACACAGGGTGAAGGCACAGCTGTGGAAAAAATTCATGGTTTATGTACAGTAGAAGTCTGGACTTGAGTCCGATTCGCACTGACATACACTAAATCAATACAGTCCTCTGCCTAACAAGGGCCCTGTGGATCATGCTGCAACAGAGCTAGGTCTCAACAACACGGATGGGTTTGGAACAATGTAAGTGACTGGACAAAGTCAGCTTTCAAACTTCTCCTAAGGGAATGGTAGACCAACATGATTTAAGTAAGTAAAAGCAAAGCCAACAGGACTCCAAATGATACGAACCTTTAAAATCAGATTAATAAAAGCAGAGAAGAATCTAATAGGTTATGTCACTTCAGTACTAAAATTGTCCTTACTCAGCAGAGCACAATACAGCAAGAGGATGTAGAAGCACTTAATTTCAACAGTTCTGTTTAGATAGGAAGGAAGAAAAGATAAAAGGAAATACTAATTTCAGACACAGCACTGTAGAGA